ATATATATATATATATATATATATATATATATATATATATACATATATTCCATGCAAAGTTGCGAGTAATTATTTTTTTAATTAATTGTCGTGTTTAATTGGCAGTGTTTAATGTAAGCCAATTCAATTGACGACCGTTTAATTGACAATTGATTCCAACAAATTCAATCGAAAGATGTCCCGATTAACGGTTCTGATTTCAACGAACTCAATTAAGAGACGTTTATTTGATATTGAAGCGAAGAGAAACTCAATTGAACTTAACAAATTTAATTAAAAGCCGTTTAACTGATGATTGAATTTAGCAAATTGAATGAAATTTCGCTTATATTAATCGTCAATTGAATGGTCTTTAGTTGAATTTGTGACATCGTCAATTAAATATTAGTCTTTCTCGAATCAATTATCAGTTAGTTGCATTGAAACATCCACGGATCAATTGTTAAATTGAGAAAATTTTAATTGATATTTTTGCAACTCTGATTTCACACACACACGCGTTGAAAGTTAAAGAAATATTCGCTTTTAAAAATCAAAACGATAAGAATGTGGGTCGATCTTTTCCTCAATCGTAAATTCATTCCAAAGATATTCCAAAGACGTCTTTAAAATATCTTTTAGTTTTATCCTCGCTGTCTGAACAAATTCACGTAACTTTGCACTTTTCACGAATTCACGCATGAGGATAAAATTTATGAGTAACCTTCAAGATTAAGTACGTGTCCGGGAATTGGTACTTTACTTCGCGTGTGTCATTGACAGCCATTTCGCACGCGACGAAGCGCGGGATACGCGACGACTTTAACCCATTAATTGCCAGTAATTTATGATTGTATATATGACAGTTGATTAATTTTGATTATCGATTCGCTGATTATTTTAGTCAAAGAACATTTTAATCAGTTAATAGTTTTCAGCACTTGATTCTCAGTGTACCTTAGAATGTGTGTGTATCTTAGAATATTTCTAATATTATTATTTATGATTATTTATATATTTTTAAAAAATCAACAGACGGATTATTTTTATTAGAAATGTTTGTGAGATAATTATGGTCTTTAATGGGTTAATAACAACCTCACACTTTTTCTCTCTCTCTTCCTCTATTTCTCTCTCAGTCGGGCTGGAATCTAACTAGGAATCATTCTGAGCACCATATTGCCGATTTGCATGATTCCGAGCTAAATCACGGTGATGTAATCGCAGATTCGCATAATTTATGACAAAGGCGAGATGATTCGACCCGGCAGAGAGAGATATAACGGCGTTCAAAGTTTTTCGACTCGACGAAATAATTGTGTGTTCAAAGCGCGACTAATCGAATACGCGGTATACGATTTGCATGTATTTCGCGTACACTACGGTTCTCGCAGATCGGTGCGAAGATCTCTGCGCGAAGATTTTATTGTCCGCTGGATCTCGCTCCTTTCCACATCCCGCTGGTTATAACGAGCACAACTTTCAGACAGGCAGTTAGACAAGTTGAAGGTGGCCACGCGCGACAGCGGGATAAGTGGATTCTTGGAGGTACAATGGGACACATTCGTGCGTGGCCCAAAAATAAAACGAAAGATTCGTTGAATGTAAAACAGCGAGCCGGTTAACCTTCGCCAGGAGAGCGGCTTTATCTCGTGCTATCAAAACGCGGTGATAAACGAAGAAAGGAGAGCGAAGACGAGTCCTCGAAGGGACACCTCGGACGAGAGAAACACGCGTTCGAGACCAGCGAAAGTGCAATATAATGGAATTCGAAGCGGCTAAGGGTGACCATCACCGCGCGTAAATCTGAAATTTATAACACAAGGCTGCCTAGTTTTGGCGCCTCCACGCCACCCTCTTGCCCGAGCCACGTTCGCAGTTTCGCGATACTCCGTCGTCGAAATTCCTCCGAGGATGACCGAGTCGACGACCGCTTGGCACAAACATATCCGGATCTCAAAGAAATGCCGCTAATCATGGCTGTGAAATGCGAGACGAGCTAAAGCTCGTCGAGAAAAACATCAAGAAGGGAAGATCCCGAAATGTTTCGTCGATTCTGAGTTTAGACCAGTATAGAATTGTTCTAGGGAATTTACATAATATAAATTTCTATTTGTACCCCCTATTTTTGCGTTAAAAAAATGGTAGCACACAGAATTTTATAATTTAATAAAATTAATTTTATAATTTTAATAAAATAAAAAAACGCATAATAATTTCTTTTGCTTTAATTGAGAATATTAGCAAAAATTTATCTCTACATAAATACTATCTATACTATAAATAGAAATAATCTTACTTTCAATCTCTATTTTAATTTGTTCTACTGTAAAAAACATGGAATGAAAGTACTATTGACTTGTTCTTGAATTGAATTTAAAGCCGAGCAAATTTCATATTTTTCTATAGCGCGACTAATTGTTGATTTTTTTATTTTATTAAATTGTTGAAAATTATAAAATTCTGCACCTTTTCGTATTTTTAAATGCAAAGATGTGCAAGTGTAAATTTGTTATTTAGACCCTCTAGAATAATTGTCAAATAGTTTCGCGAAGCTTGGTCCGTAAAAAAATGCGGAGAATCGATAAGCCCATTCAAAGCTTGTGCGCTTCACGCTCCAATCAACAGCTCATTCTTAGCTCATAATTAGTTAGTTATTAGCGATTAAACAGCGAGAGATAGTCGTACTGACCGGCCAAGTTCCTTCGACTTGCCAAACTTCGTTAATCGGATTCTTCGTCTTCTGAATTATATTCAAACTGCGGCGGGTGCAGTTACCGAATTTGCATGCCGATTGACAGGCCCGACGACGTTATTAACTGACCTATTATTATCTCTACTCGTAAATACGTCAGACGCGCGAATAAATACGGGGATAAGCTAATAAGGCCGCGCTGCGAGCACGGCCGATCGTAAGTTATCGGCGGGAATGCGAATCCTCCTCCTGCCGTATTCGGTTGGTCGTATTGAGTTGTTCGATTCGAAAGTTACACTCATAAATTATCCGTCATTCGAGCGCGGACTGCATTATTGCTCTCCAAAATCTCGATTTGTAGATGTTCGTTTTTTCTTCTCTTTGTCGAAATTGGTGCGACTTCGGATACGCGGATAGAATAGTTAGAAATGTCTCAGCATATCGCAACGGATGTCTTCGACGATAATAGACTACGAGTGAAAAAAAGAGATATCGCTTAACGTTTAATTCTTTTAAAAGAGAACGCTTAACGGTACTTGGAGGACGGAAAAAATCATTAAATCGCGTTTCGCTCAGCGGGCACGCATGAGCCAATAACGAAGAAAAATAATCGATCGATCTGGGATCAGCGACTTGGCTGACCGCGTAAACGAAATCGGGTTCGCCGGAATACAGCTCGTTCTTGGAATACCGGCGAAAACGTAAATCGCGAAAGAGAGAGAGAAAAACAAGAGGGACTGAGACATCTCCTCTGGTTTCCGCGAGCCAAGGTCGCGAATGCGACCGACACATTTTCGAGAAAAAACCGAAAAAATGCAGTAACTTTTCTCAGTCTTTCACCGCGCCACTGCGCCGTGAGAGAACCACGGTGTGAGCTTCGGTATTAATTGCTCGATATTAACTTTATAGAACCCTATAAACATAGGAAAATGACAAATCTTAAAAATGGTTTAATTCTATTCAACGCATTTTCATTTACTCATAACTTCCATAAAAACTGTCAAAATGCAATGCTCTTTTTTTATTTAATCGGTGCAGAAAACACCGAGGAATGCGAATCTACCAGTGTTTTTGCGATTCAATAAGCTTGAGGAAAGTCATAACGAAAAAGCAAAACACATATTTTTAAGAACGATAACGTTTAAAAAGTTGGTTTGAGTAAATTTTACCCATGTTTAGGGCCCTGGGGTTAAAGCTTATGGTTCCACGGAAGTTTGGATCGATGCGAGAAAACGCATGCCATTTTTAAATAAAAAGATATTTGCATGAAAGAACACTTCAAATGGATATACTTATTAATGTAATATGTATGCTCCGAAAACTACCCTTTCTCCTTGAAGTCAAATAAGTAGCCTTAAAATTGACGTGCAACCGTTCTCTTTGCGACCTATCTTTCCTCATGATTCCGCCACGTTAATTGTAAGGCTATTCATTGACTGTCAAGGGAAAGTTTTCGGAGCATTTGACGAGTATGCCCAAGTATCTCAAGCGTTCTCTCATCTTTTTATTAGAAAATGGCACGCGCAAGAGTTTGGAGCCCTAATTTCCAGACGAATTTCCACCCTCGTGTGGGGCTCTCTCGCGAATCCCATAAAATATCCAGAAGCGACTCGTCGACCTAGACTCGCGCCCGAGAGCCGTGTCTGCGGCGCGTGCATTAATGCAGTTATGAATGGCGACACGTAAAACGCATCGATACCGTACGCTATACTTACTCGGCTGCACGTGCTCGGCCTCGGCTATTAATCGGCTGTCAAGTAGGCGAAGATCGAAGACGGAGGTCGCGGTGGCACGTCGCGCGCAGTTCTCAGCGAGGGTGTGTGCTCGGGTCGGTGGATGTCACCCGGGATGGGACCGATCGATGTGCCGCGTCGATCGAGACGGGCCCACTCGAGTGCGTTCGCGCGAGTGACAATACCTGTGCGCGTCGGCCGGCTCGAGCTGCCCAAAAACACGACCACCTCCACCTCCGGGCGAAGGACTAAGGCGTGGTTTGCAGGTGAGTCCGATGTGATCGTGCTGCATAGTGGGGAGGATCGGAGTGGAAACTGGAAAATTGATTAAACCATTTGGCATTCTGGATCACGCTCGGGAATCGCGCGATCGGTTTCCCGATGCCGAAACTGTGTCCGTGTGTAGCCGAGCGTCGACTTACAAGGTCGCACTCTCTTGCCCATACAAGTCTCTCTCTCTTTCTCTCTCTCCCTCGCTCAAGTGAAGTAAGACATCCTTATTCCGAGATCGTCGAGTGACGAGACCGATGACAAATCGATGCATTGTTGTCGGCCAAGAACCTGTCCGATTCTTCGTCTTCAGACGGGAGAGCAATCGTAATTGCTCATTTGCCCCTACGTCCTTAGTAACAGGGTCAAGCGCAGTTTAAACACCATTTTCGACGAACACGTTCGCATCATTCATGTGCTTGTCGGCTGGCGGCTCGTCGATAACGATCGGTCGATGAGAATTTCACGCAGTCCATAAACCTACGATATGATAAAATTTCGATTATTTCCTCCGCAATTAATTGAAGATCGAACATTTTTTCTTCTTTTTTTTTTCTTAATATAAAGCCCGTCGTATAGGTGCAAACTGCGATAAAGTGGTGAAGATAACGGCCGGTCGAGTTAACAGCGCGAAACGATAGACTTAAATCGCATCGACGCGGCGAGCGACGTGAAAAGTATCCAAATTTGTACTTTCACTTTCACCGATCCCACGCGCCACTTGAAATCGCCAAATGTGGTACTATTCCCGACACGAAGCGCGATATATCGTTCGGGACGACAGACAGACAAGCAGACAGACAGACAGACTGACAGTTAGACGGCAATTATATAACAAGAGGTCTCTTCTTTCCCGAAAAATTTCCTGAACACTACTGGGTGTATGCCAGCGTGATAAGTTGGAGTGAAACAAAATATACTTGTTTCACCCTAACTTACTGCACCAGTTCAGGAGGTTCCTCGGAAAAGAACAGGTTTAAGGACGACAATTCGATCGCTCGTATTAATCAGTGATATTATGTAGATATTACGCAGTGATATCGCAGATAGGCATTCGCGTAAAAAGTTAAACACTCTTTTACGCCCGGTATCTTTCGCGTAGCTAACCGTTGTTATTGTTTGTCCCAGTGCGCTTGAGACATTCCGACCTCTTCTTCCCAGGGAAGTATCGAGCGACCGTGTCGATACTCGAGACATCTCGATAAATCGAAGCATCTGCCGCCATACGAAGAGAAGCGGCACGCAGGCACACAGGCTCTCTCCAGAAGCAACTGTTCTCGCGCATTGCTCGCGCCCTCACGACTCCGATTCGGCTGCACGCGCTGAATGGAAACGCTATCACAGCCGCCAGCTATCAGAGCGGCCAGTACGGTTCCATCCCTTCCGCAGAGACGACGTCGCCGGTGAGCAAGCAGCCCTCTCGCAGCGCCCGTGCTCCCATTGTGAACGGAGATGCTCGTTAACAAGTGCACGCTGGGCGCGCGCGTCTCGCCCCGACAACTAATCAATGGTATTTATCAGTTTTGTTTCCGCTCTGTGTCGAGGACCTCGTGCAAATTCACGTGGTGTCGCGACATGGCCCGTGAGAAAGAACCCCTCATGGGTGGGAAAGCCACGCCATCCTGTCGCGGATACGTACACCTCGGCAAAATCGATAAATTCATCCCGGCTCGACAGCTGTTCCGTCGCTCTGCGAGCCTCGAGGTCCTGTCTGTCCTGTGTGTCAAGTGAAAGATAATGGTTAAGTGGCGCGATAGTTGAATGATAATATTTTTGATACTAGTTCGACTACTTCCCTAAGATGAATCAGTCAAACATCATTAAAAACAGTAAATATACACTGATTTGCAGTTATAAGTATAGCACTGCTCAGTGACACAGCTATAACTGATATCAGTGACTATTCACTGATTCATTTTAAAAGAGTACACTACTTGTCTTGTCGTGTCTCTCATCGTGTATCTTCAATACGTGACTTTTGAAGTAGACGTGTTATCTTATCCAACATTTTAAGTGTGGCACACGCAATCGAAATAAAGGAACAGCTTTTCTTCTCGAAAATATTGTTGACCTTGATCTTGAGTGCGGTGCAACGTTAAATTGAAACTTTGTATTATCTCGTAATCCGCGCGGCTCAGTAACGATTGGCAAACTGATAAGCAATCGGCTTTGCATGATGTTTGATCTGCCAGAAACGTGAAGTTTGACTTACCTGGTTTGCACATACTTGAGGAATTGTATATGATTATATTTGCACACGAGGAAAACGGTATGACTGATGCACGTACATAAACGAAAGTGACTCGAATAATGTTGCTCACAATATATTTTTAAATTTAAATATAAATTGCATTATATTATATGCACTGTATCTTTTTTCTATGTACAAGTTTGGTTATATATAATTTACGTATACGAAACATTTTATTACAAAATTGAAATTTTCCTAAAACATTCTGAAGAATAAATTTGCCAACTGTTACGCTTGAGTTTCGCTGGTCGACAAAGTGTATTCATATATTATTTTACGCACTCTATCTTGGCGTCATTACGACATTTTGATCCGCGAGGGGCAAAATCACAGCGATACATCAAGCAATCATCCTTAACTAGCGTCAATAGAACTAACTCGCCCGAGCTGATCACCACACTCGAGTGAGCCGGCTAGTCAAGTCGTTTTCCTGTGTGAATATTAACACGATTCGCGATCTGACGGCATAAACACGAATCTCGCATTTGTCAACTGATTGAAAATGAGTTCCACCTGACGTGAGATCGCGTGCTCAAGAGTTGGAAAGATTTCGACTTCAACGGAAATCGCCCAGACATATCCTAATACGCACGGAGAGGAAAAACATGGACACTTATCAGTATTACTTTTACAGGCGTTGCGATGTGGAGGAGAAGCTTAACCGGTCCCGTATCCTCGAAGGAACCTGCAGGGCCGGTAGTCATGACGGAGATACCGGGTCCACAGTCGCGCAGCATGTTGCAAGAATTGAACGCGATACAAGTACGTCTCATCAAGCCATTCTAGTTCTGCCGGAGAGTGTTGTAACACAATCTTGCAATTATGCATATACTATGTAATTTGCCCATTGCGACTCGTCGTCCGCGAGTCTGCGTTTTCTCGTCGACGCCTCGCTCTTTTCACAAATTTTCACGTCGATTCAAGTTCAGCTCACGCTTCTCGAGTCGCCGCTGAAATCTGTCAGTGTATGCATAAATCAAGGTAAACATAGTAAATTAATAAAATTGAGCGTGCGATATCTTCTGTAAACATTGCTCCGTGCCGGAGACACGAGAGTGAATTACAATGTTGCGATCTGTGATCCTCAGCAAGCCTCTTCCGTACAATTCTTCGTAGACTACGAGAAGTCCGCCGGCAATTACATAATGGACGTCGACGGGAACGCGTTGCTGGACGTTTACATGCAAATCTCGTCGATGCCCCTAGGGTACAATCATCCGGCGATGTTGGAGGCTCTCGCTGATCCCGTTAATCAAGTGAGTGATATAAAGCCCCTTCGCCGACTGGATATACCCAGGTCTCTTTCTCTTCTTTTTTCTCTCGCACGTGTAGAGTGCCCTCGCATGCTGATCCGTCCTCTACAGGATATATCACTTAGACCTTAAGTGCATGGCGCTTGATAAGCCGTCGGACATGATCCGAAGCAGCCGCGAACTGTCTCGCGAATTACATCGCGATAAAACGCGCTCAGGTCTCGCGAGTCGAGGTACGAGGCATATTTCATAAGTACGTTTTCTTTCCAGAAAATTATGGTGAATAGACCGGCATTAGGCGTCTTCCCGGGTAGTAATTGGGCTAGCAAATTGAACAGGATTCTGTTGAAGAGCGGGGTACGTGACGAACAGCTTCTCAACTGTTTTACCCTCGTTACCCATTTCGTTCGTTTTCCGTTAGTCATGGCTTAAATTCAAATTAATTATCCGCGGATAGGTCGCTCCGCCCGGATTGTCGCATCTCACGACGATGATGTGCGGTTCCTGTTCCAATGAGAACGCTTTCAAGAACATATTTATCTGGTACGCCGAAAAACAGAGACAAGGAGCGCCGTTCACCAAAGAGGAGATGGAGTCGTGCATGTTAAATCAGATCCCTGGCTCGCCGCGATTCTCCATCATGTCTTTCAAAGGTGCGATGTTATTATTGTTATTATTATATCGGCTGATCGATTGTTCCGACAAACGTCTGAATTTATGTCTAATAAAAAATTAGACTTTTGCTTTTCTAATATATATTTGACGACAATAGGAGCCTTCCACGGTAGAACTCTGGGCACTCTATCGACTACTCATAGCAAATACATTCATAAGATGGATATACCAGCCTTCGACTGGCCTATCGCTTCCTTTCCCGATTACAAATATCCTTTAGAAGAGTACGTGCGGCATAATCAGCAGGAAGACAAGCGTTGTCTCGCGGAGGTATCATATCAAGCTGCTTTTTTAAAAGATTTCTCGAAACGCGAGAAGAGAGTCTGACAGCTATATGATGTTTCAGGTCGAGGAATTGTTTGAGAAGTATAAGAAGGAGAAGAAAACACCAGTGGCTGGTGTGATAATCGAGCCTATTCAAGCGGAAGGCGGTGACAATCATGCGTCGCCGGAGTTCTTTCGGGAATTGCAACGCATAACTCGAAAGGTAACGCACAGCTGTTAAAGCATAAGTATCGTCATTATTAGATTAAATTATCGAATTTAAAATATTGCAAGATTTTAACGTTGTGTTATTTAACTTTAATATTTTAGAACGGTGCGGCGTTACTTATCGATGAAGTGCAGACCGGTGGTGGCCCAACGGGGAAGATGTGGTGCCACGAACACTTCAATCTAGACGGTTCGCCGGATTTGGTGACCTTCAGTAAGAAGATGCAATTAGGCGGCTATTATCACACAGAAGCTTTCAAGTGAGCATTCCTTTCACGTCAATCTGATGATTTGCTTTTCAAATAATTAAAACACGCGCAACGAATTAAACATCGTACGACCGTACAGGCCGAAGCAATCGTATCGCGTGTTCAACACTTGGATGGGCGATCCTAGCAAGATGGTCTTGCTGGAAGCGATCCTCGATGTGATAAACAAGGAGAATCTCTTGGACAGGGTAACGCGCGTCGGCGACTACATGATGAAACATTTAAAGGATATGCAAAAGGAGAATTCCGCAATAAGCGCGGTACGTGGACGCGGGACATTCATAGCGTTTAATTGCGCTTCACCTGAATTTCGAGACGCTCTCATCAAGAAGCTTCAAATCAAAGGTGAAGTATAACCGTAACGTAAGATCTACGCGCTAAAAGCTAAAAGCACTGTTTCACGTTCTCGTACGCTCTTCCTGCTGTCGTTAGGCATCCAAGCGGGCGGCTGCGGCAAACAAGCTGTGCGACTCAGGCCTGCGTTAACTTTCACGCAGCGTCACGCCGATATATTTTTGGACGCGCTCCGTTCTAGCCTAAAAGAATAAAGGATACCGTTGATGGCTCCTCATGTCTTCCAGATGTCTTCCATTAACAGAAATACGAATATACGCCAGAGATATATTGATGTGTCTATAAATCTATAAATGCCTATTATTTTTCTATGGCAGTTACACATTATATACGGGCAACGAAACTGGCGTGATTCTTTCAAATTGATTAATCTGCATATATGTATACGTGATGGAGTTCCAAACAATGCAAAATTGCAAGAGGAAGGAATCATGCTATAAAATATCACAGTCATACACACACACACACACACACACACAC